AAGTCTCAATGTTCACTTCCTTTTATTTTGAACCCTTCTTAAGAACTTCAGGGAATGCTACTGAACCACTAGGGCTCATCTTCTTTGGTGTCAACGCTTGGCAATGACTTTATAACCACAGGCATTTGTACATGAACCTAATTCACTGTTTCTAGATCACTTAAAGAAATATGAATATATCCTTTTTGATTTGCAGGAATGCCTGGAAGTATTCAGACTCTAGTCACAGAAATAAAAACAACAACAACAACAACAAAACCCCAAGCTCAGTCCTTGATAATTTCTGCCAACAGAGTCTACATATTCTGATAAGGCTCACTTGCATGCCAAGCATTTTCTCCACAATATTCCTTCATAATCCCAGTGGTCTACAGAATTTTTTTCCACTTTGGAAAGTCACAACATGTAACAGATGATCAAAATAAACATTAGACACTTGGGTAATGAAATGAACAAATAGGGAATCAGCAAGAGGCAATGGAGTAAAGTCAATTTTGCCCTCTTCGTTACCCTCTCTTACCTTCCATCCCCTAAAATCTTGTAATTTAGTGCTTACATGCCTACACTGCAGATGGACTCAACTCTCCTCCTCAAATTGGTCTTTTTGTCTCATATATCTTGATTGAGTTAGCACACCATGCAATAAGACTTAATATTCTCTGTTGAATGTGATTTACCAAGACTACTTGCAGTAGACACTGTGGGCTGGCTACTCAAAGCTCTGCCTTTATTCTGATGTCCAAGCCTCCCACAAGTGGCTCAGATAAATTCTGTTGGGTGGAAAATAATCATGGTTGTCCCCAGTGACTGCTGTGGACCAATGAGATGTGACATAAAGTGTGCTGGAGAATGTCTGGGGAAAATATCATCCTAGCCCTTAAAAAGAGACTCAAAGAAGAAATAGTGCCTCTGGACAAGCACTAACATGCAAGGACACAGTGCAATACGTTGGGACTCTGAGGGGAACTAGTCAGCACAAGACACTGGCTGAGCAGGAACGTGGAAATAACCCGACTCCTTCATGAGCTAAGAAGCTAACCAACCCTCAGGATGGATTCTGTGTCATGACACAACAGATCTTCTTATTGTTTAAGCCATTTTGAATTGGCTTTTCTTTTATTTGCAGCTCAAAGCAACCTAAATGATACCGTATCTCTCTGGGGAAGCAAGATAGTGCTCTGCCTCTCCAAGAACCCTGCAACAAAGGTACAGTTGCTCCAAAAAAGAAAAGAGACTAAGGTTTATTTCTCAATAAGTATTTTGGGAAAACCAGCTGTGAAAAGATATTTTTAATATCTACTCCTGAGGTATGGAGAGTTCTTTGAAATCCTTCCTCACTACATAAACACTGTAATGAAGCTACAATGAGCCACTAGGAATGGTATGTGTGGGGATATACAAAATACTTGGAGTCATAATATGTAAACATTAGGAAACTACCATGAAATTAGTCTTTATTACTCATCTACTCTTATTTCCTCCTACGATTATAAGAGTGGGATACTTTTCCTGTGCCCTGCTCCATCTGATGAAAACACAGAATTATACAATTGGAGGAGAAAGAAAATTGAGGCTCAAAGAGGTAGAAAAATTAGCTCAAGGATCTACGGCTAGCTGAGGACGATGCTTTTCATAAGTAAAAATGCCTTTTGCATGATTTTAAAACAAAACATTTGTTGAAAACTCAACGCAAAGTCAAATTGCAAAGACTTGGAAAGTCAAAACTGGACCTTTTACAAGCTAATTTAATCATGACAATAAAATCTCCCTTTCGAATTCACTGCTTTGAGCTTCTTCTTTCTAATTCTAATATTCACCTACATCCCAATCCATATTCTTCTCAATACCATTTCTCTCTTCTAGGAAATCCTTGCATATGGCCCATTCTCTGGGCCAGTGGTTTTTAAAACACTGCCCTCATAATAATTACTTGGGAAATAAATCAGAAATGCAGATTCCCAGGCAGAGAGCCTGAGTAGACCCACAGAGCCCAGAAATGTCAATGTAAACAAGCACCCCAGGTGATTCTAACCATGCTTTGAGGCACATGACTCCAGACTGTATACTAGATTCCAAGATCCAAACAGAAAACATCTAATTATCATAGTACATTTAAGCCAAAACTACAAAAATATGTGCATGGTTGCCTATAATTTTTGTGTTCCCTCTGAGGTCTGAAACAAATCCAACATCTCTATGATTTGAATGTACCCTGGTAATCATTTTCTTTAGAGGTTTGGAGTTTTTATCCTTCCCCCTACTCAAGACTCTTTTTCCCCTCTGAATGAATTTTTAGCTGGGATTAAATATAAAATGTCTTAATTCTTCCTCTGTGGCTAAGGGAAATCAATTTTGGAAAATGTTTCAAAAGAGTACTTTAAAAAATATACAATACAAAATGTCTTGCCTTTGAACCAGAATTCTGAGATGCACAAGGCAAACAGTGGGTAAGGAGAGAAGTAAACACCAGATTTTCCAGCAGAATCAGCCCTGAAACCAAAACTTAGGAAGGAAGCTGACCATTAAGTAAGTGGCCCAGAGGAACAATAGCTCAGGCGTATCCTAGGGTAAGTCTAAACCTGAGAGAACTGGAATTAGACAAACCTGCTGTCCCAAGTTAACTTTCTCTTACTGCTTGATTTTAAAATAAGGACAGTGCTGTAAATGAGAATATAAAGTTTAAGTGGAATCTTAGAACTCCTCTGGATGCCAAAGAATTTTTTCAGACCTAAATAAATACTCTTTACTGGATTCAACACTGCTCATTCATATCCTTCTCCGCAGGGACATTTTAAATATAGAGGCTCAGGAGACCAAGAACACAGCACGCTAAGCATTTGAGTCTGCTATAGTCTATTACTAGCTCTAACCAACTCACATTACAGCATGAGAGGTTGTCTATAGGCAGATTTATTGACCATTAAATGAACAAGAAATGCCATAAAACCACAGAAAATCATTCTCAAGTTTCAAAGATAAGACATACTGCTCGAGAATTGCTATGAAGTAAACAACTCCAGCAATAAAACTGCTTTAAATTGGCTAGAAAGCCAAAAAAAAAAAAAAAAAAAAAAAAAAACCAAAAAAGTGTCAAGGTCACAGCTGTAATTTGCAAATTCCAGTTTACAACTCTTAGATCAGTAACAAGTATGGACTGAAAGCAATGGGATTGGAGGGGCAAAGCGTTTAAAAAGAAGGTGAAAGTGAGCCATCCACCACGAGATGAACAAGTTCAATTGTTCAACATCTACCTTAAAGGTTTTGTTTTGATGCTTTTATTCTTCTTCTTCAAAGAATCCTAACAATTCTAAAGGAAATTCAAAAATAGGAAAAACGCAACACTGGCTCTGCTGGGCCACCATTCACTTTTGGTCTGTCTCAGTTCAATTAAGCTCTCTTCTAATTGCACAGCTTGAAAAGGCCCATGGCTTTTAGATGGTTCCTAACCTTCTCCAGCTGCTCTCTGCAGGCCTGAAAGCCTCTTTAAAACCCAGTGGCCATGAAGCAGTCATGAGCACCCCCGCATATACTAGGCTGGAGGGTATACCTGGAACCTCCTGTGTCTTGGTGTTTGCCCTTCAAGTGTGCAAAGTTTTGCAGCTAAGATCTAAAGCAGCTTCTCTGCTTAACAAACGCCCAACTCTGGGTTGTGTGGAACTGGTACCAAACTGTCATCTCAGAGCACCTGGAGTTACGTTTTAAAGCCCAGTTCCCATTATTTTAAACACGCTTCATCAGGATTCTTTGACATCTTCGGGGCATTCTCCTGTAAACTTGCGTATTACCTGCTATGCTTTCTAAGTATTCCTGAACGCGCAGCTCTGATATGGCAAGGCAAGAAAAAAAATTGGTCAATAATGGAGTAACCGTGGCTTTGCTGAATTGCTTCCCAATAACACACAAAACACTCTTGCTTCTTCATGTAAATGAGGAAATGGTGGAAATCTTCATGATACATATCACTTTTTTTCCCAAAGGTAATATCAAGTGCTTGACAGAAAGATGAAAACTAACCATCACAATCTCCCTCAGGAGAATATCAGCTTATCCCCAAGAAATACCCTAATGGCATAGCAAAATGTGGTTAAGGGCCAAATTTATAACACATCAGTTCAGTAGAATGTAGGGCTTAATAATTTAGGTTAACTGGTATGCTCACATTCTTTTCTTGTGCTCCAGTCTGCAATCAAGAACATACCATCAAAGTCAATGGCAGGTTAGAATGCACACACAAGTAGTGACAAACACAGCATGGGAAGTCAGCAATGCCATTCATAACAGGGTCAAGCAACAGTAAACACACAAATATTTGAAGCCATTATGAGACTCTAAATACTCCTAGCAGAAAATCAGGCCCCTACTGAATGCTTTGATTATCTCAGAGGACAAGTGAGTATGTGCCAAAAATAATTCCTTTATTCTTTATACTTCTTCAGAGGCTTTAATGCATGTAACATTAAAAATCAATGGCCTTGTAGAAAAAAGGGAGTCTATTATTCATATTAGATAGATGGGGAAACTAAGGAGTAGAAAGTTCAGTAGTCTGTTCAGGGCTGGTTAAGCAGCATGTTAATAACGGAGTCAGCTCTAGAATCCAGGCCTCCTTACTAAAAACCCAAATTCCATAAACCCACAACATATTTTTGTTTGTTTCTGATGAGCATAAGAACATATAATCCCCCAAAACTCTGTGTGGTGACCTGGCATCATGGACAACACACTGTAGTTTGTCCTTGATCATCACAGGGCTAAATCCCCCTGAAAACTGTGTTTGTGGCCTGGTTGCATGAGCACTTTCCCAGCCTCCTCTGGGAAGGCCATCTGGCATTTGCTGCTGTTCTCCACTGCAATTAACATTTCACACATTTCTTTCCTAAGCCTCCAGCATACCTGATGCAATAGTGGGAGAGAGAAACAAAAGCAGAACTGAGACCAGCTTTACTGCTAAGATAAGAACTTTCAGGGATAAGAAAAGGGCTAGTAATTGGTCTTAAACCTACTTTGCCAAGTGGTTCATGAGCAGCTGTAACATCTGCCGATTTTTCTCTGGGAGCCGATGAACAAGGCTGTGGATTTCAGAGACCCGAGACTCCTGGTTCTCTAGTTCTGTGAAGGAAGGAGGGAGGTAATATTTTACCAACGTCACAGCCAAACGACTTTAAGGATGAAAAATCAAGGGAAACCAAAGGATGGGGACTAACAGACCAAGGATTTGTGAAAGATTTACGATCCTGTCTTGTGTGCACTCTGCGTGGCCAGCATGACTAGATCTGGAAGTCCTTTTAATGGTGCTTTCTGGAACAGGGTTGCCAAAAAGAACTGTCATCAAAAAATCCAAGCCAAGATGATGACGTGATGAAATGGAGCCAGTCAACTGCAAACGCAGAGCCGCTCCTGAGAACGAACTCAAGAGTAGCTGGCTCCCTTGAGGGAAGACTTCATTTCAAGGAAGTAAGGAACTTTATGCACTTGTAAAATGATAAACAAATCTTACGTGAACAGCATTGCAAGGGTTTCAAATATCAAAATAACACCTCAAGACAGCATCAAAGAAATCAAAGGAAATGTCCAGTATCCTCCAATCACGTATGACAACCAGCCTGCTAGAGAGAAAGTAATGGCAGATAAAATGTTCAAGTCTTTCTGCCAACTTGTAACCTAAATCATGGCTTGTCACATTCTCTTGGTTGAACCTGGGTAAGTGGCTTTGTTTCTCTGGCAAGGAGATTGAGGGTACTCATCACACCTATTTATAGGACTGATGTGAGGTTTAAGTAGAGAATGGTTGCTATAGGTTTGCAATTTCTCGAGAAAGAAATGACATAAACACCATCTTCACTCACAGCTTTCTCTTTCCTGTTTTAAGTGGACACCTATGAGTAGATAAGGACACCAGAACATTAGGTACCTACTAAATTAGGCCAGTAGTAGCTATCAGGGTAAATAAATTCGAAAGGCTAAAAGGAACCCGGGAGTGGCACAAGTTACTGACATAATAATACTGTGAAGATTCATGCCGGACTTAAATCTGATAGAAAATCTTTCTGCTCCTTTATGTAGAGGCCTGACCCACGTAGCCAGAGATTCTAGTATACTTAGAGTAGCTTGGACCTAATCCCTGTGTATTTTAATACCAGTAATATGACGCTAGGGAACCTGGATGATATAGTTGAAGAATGATCAGAAGCTGTAAATGGAAGACATAATGGAAAAGAGGACTGTGAAGTTACATAAATGGTGTCATATTCAGGGAAACATTTCCAATGCTCAATTTAGGTAATGTGCAATGTCTGATTCATTCTGCAAAATGCTACTCAAAGGCTGGAAAAAACCTAAGAAGTTAGAACTCCAATAATCAAAACTAGAAAGGCAAACTTGTTTTTCTCTATCCCTCCAACATCCTCCTCCCCTCCGAAAAAAAAAAAGACTTCTGAAGTTTCTCTCCTCTACTGTAAATTCAATGTGGTTGAAAGGCCCTTAGCAATCCCTATTTGGTTTCATTTTTCTTCCATGTTATAATCTCATGAGCATGTTATGTGGCCAGTTTACATGCAGAACATGAAAGATTAGGTAATATTTATTTTGGGATACTGACTCTTCTTCGAAATAGAAAAATCTATTCTCCTCCTCTTAAAACTGAGACGAAAAAGGTCTTACTTGCTGCTTTGATGAAACTTCTTTGAAACTGGTACATCATGAGTGGTCCGGGAAGCATTCTGGAGTAAAAGGAGATAGGCTAGTCAGCTTAATAATAAAAATTATCATATTCTCTCTAAATAGCAGCCTAGAGACTGGCAAACTATATTACATTTCTCAAAGACAACCAACACAAGGAAACAATAACAACTTAATTTAGTTTCCCTATGGCAGGGGCTCTGAGATTTCACCCACAAGTTTTGTTCTCTCTCTTTTTTAAACGAATGGATACAACTATGTTTCACTGTCAACACTAAAATAGTGCTAATGCAAAAGTCTAACACAAACTAAGAGATTTCCTTTTCAGTCAGTGACTCACCTAACAACAGCGTTTTAAGATATGTCTGAGAAACAGGCAACTAACTACATATTTGCAATTACTTGTGCTCAAACTCTCATCTTCCCAGCAGCTTGTTGCTAGATTCAATTCATCTAGAAACACTATAAAAGACTTTTGTAGGTGCTTTGGTGCTGAATTCACTATGGAGTATTGCTCCAGAATGCTAAAGGGCTAGAACCCCTAACATTAGGTATGATATGAGCAAATTTTACCTGCTAGGGTATGAGTATGTTTAACTATAAACTTGAGGTTTTTTCTGATAGTTCAAATAAGAAACTTTGCAGTAGACTATACATTATTCTTGGCTCAGACTTTTTTCTCACTGGGTCCCTTAATTCGACTCCCAGTTTTAGTTAACACTTACATTGTATCTTACTCCTGACTCCAATTACCCCACAGCCAATAAAACCTACATCAGCAATTCCTTTTCTGTGGCCTCCCTCCTTTGCTTTTCAGCCAATTGCATCTTCAAAAAACCCACACAAAGACTTATGCAATTTCTGATTACCATTCTCCTCTCTTTTGAAGACTAGGTCCCACCTTTCTCTGTAAGAAGAACTATGGTATTCCTGTCCTTCAAGTCCGGTATAAGTATTTTGGTTTATTCATGAAACTGAGATGCAGGCAGCTGGTCAATAACCCAACCCTTAAAAATGATAGGAGGCGTAGAGAGGGTGCAATAATATCATATATAAATGATACAAGGAAAATAGTCTCTCCAGGGAGATAATATTGTCCAATACAGGTGGAAAGAGTCAAAAAGGAGTTCTATTAAGGTCTCATTTTTAAGAACCATTGTCAGCAATGTACTGTGTAAAGTGTGAAACTATCAAAATACACGGGGTATGCAATCATGCATTCTTAACAGAAATCCACGATTCCTTGTGTTCTTAATAGATTATTCAGGGACTTCAGGGAAGATCCCACTTTAGGTTCTGTTCAAAGCTAATTATCACCGTACTTCTCATATAGAACCAAGTTTCCTAAATCACTCATGGTGTCACGGCACAAAGGCAACCCATCAACTATGGATGATTTACAATTGGTTTGACCAGCTGAGCTAAACGCACCCACACAGAAGCTGTTTCAACATCTCAAACACCCACCCAACAGCTCTCCGAAGTCTGAAAATAAAACTGCTTTCTTCCTGATTGCATGATAACTAGCTGGCATTCTGCCTTGCAAATGGAAAGTCCCTACCTTAGGTAGGTCTTCAGAGCACTAGTGATGGTCTTTATCTCCCATTCAGCACAGATATCTGTTTCCGTCTCAGAAGCAGTCTTGGGGTCTATAATGAAGAAAAGACAATACATAAAGCAGAGCATAAAATGGAACTAATAAATAAGCACACATAAAGGCATCCAATCTTGCTAGTAATAGAGAAATGCAAAGTAAAACAAAAACGATAAGTATTATTTTTTAACTATGAAATAAGGAAAATGTTTAAAAATCCCAGTATCTATTTGCTGGTAAGAATGAGTGAAAATGATCCTCTCGTATCCTGCTGGCAGCAGGAGAGATAAATGCAACTGTTTTCAGAAGCAATTTGGCAATATGTATCAAAGTCTTAAAAATGCTTACATCCTTCCAACCAGTAATCCCATTTCCCCCAATCTATCCTCAGAAAGTAAGATAAGGCACGAGAAAAGTTACAGACCCCAGAAATGCTCAGCATACACTCTTCTTTGTAACAGCAGAAAAAAAAAAAGGAGATAATCTAAATGTCCAGTGACAGAATGGGTAAGTGAATTACAGTATGTCAACCTGATGAAATATTACCTTGCCAATTTCTATGACAACGACAACTGCAAAGCAACATGGAAAATGCCTGTATTATATAATGTCAAATAAAAATCAAGATATGTTTGTGAGAAACCTTTTCTATAAACTTTTTATATGAATAAGGCTGAAAGGAAATACTCTAAATTAGTGGTTGGGGTCAAAATGGTGGACTATGGTTTTTATATTTTCTAAACTATGGTTTTATTCCATTACTTTCATATTTCTTAAGCTCAAATGTGCAATGAGAACTACCATAACTATATCCGCTCCTGATAATTTCTTTTGTCTCTTCTTGTATGAACTTTGAAACAAGTCTGTATATTTTAAACAAGCATGTATGATAAAAGAACAGGAGAGGTGATTCCTGTAGTCTTCCTGAGTAGCACACAAGGAGGTGAGAACAAGAGGCAGAGACTGGGGAGTGTAATTGCTTCACAGATCCCCATCCTGTCCCTGGTGAGGCAGGCCAGGTCACACATGTACCAGTGCGAGGGTCAAAGAGTCTCTCAATGCATAGGAGGGAGAGTCCAACTCTCTTAAATTGACTAGAGACTAGTTCTTTGCCCGCCAGCTCTCGGTCCTTTTTTTTCCTGCATGACACCTCATTTCGAGTAGGAGACAATCCTTTTCTTACTTTTTCCAGGGGTGAAGAATGAGCTTCAGGAAAAACTGGCCAAAAGCATAATATCTCTCCAGACTCCATGACTAGATGAGGGATTGCCCAAGATGTAAGGCTGCCCAATCAGAGTAACTTTCCCACTTTTCCAGGAGTCAGGAACAGATATTTGCTGTTTGCCGGGCTTGCACTGGGAGGTTATGTAACTACCAGGTGCCACTACACAGAGCCTGAAAGTCTGACAAACCCAGAGATGAGATAAGCAGAAATAGTGGATCCTGAAGCTTGTATTTGCCTCTCCTTCTTATCATGCAAGCCAGTAAATTCCTTTTTCCCCTTAAGCCAGGTGAGGTCGGGTTTCTGTCTATTTACCATGCAAAGAGATCTAAATGATGCACCAGGAAAAGGGAGGCAGCCACCAGACTGCATCTTTCTGAACAGTCTCCAGGGATAATTCTGGGGCATCAATGAAGAAAGCAGGGCCAACAGCCTTTCAGCTAGGAAAGGAGAATGAGTCACAGGTAGGCACAAGACATTTTCTATTTACTGGGAAATAAACCACTTTCATCCAAAGAGAAAGAGGCCAAATACTCATGAATGGCTTCAGGATTTAGCCTATAATCAACAGGTAGGGGCACAAATCCAACTGGTACCTACTGCTCTCTGTGTGTTCCCCTGACACACATTGGGATATGAGAGAGGAAAGAGCCCCAGCTCATGAAATATGTGGCTCCCAAAGGCACAGTACCTGTGTGATGGTTGCAGGTGACCCTAAGCAATAAAATGAAGTCTTTCTTGTCACATGAAACAAACAAGGAAGAAGTTAAAGAGCATAATTTTAATCCTGGGGCCAGCCATAGAACAGTAAATTCCATAGAGTTCTATCACAGCAAATTTCTGAAAAGCTCACAACATGTGATTTTCCTAGTATCCAAAATGTCTGCCACTTTAATTTGTGTCTTTCTTTGTCCTCTTGCACTCCCCAGGTGGCTTTTTCCTGCAAAAGAGTAGGTATCAAAAACCTTCACTTTGCATGACCTCTTTCCCTCCCCATCCCAAGACACATGGAGAGCTGCCACCCTGCGTGGCTCCTGGATGCGAGACAAATGTTACTGTACATTTTTCTAAGGAAGCAACCAACTTCTACCCAAGAAGAGTGAACCTAAAACTGAACAGGCAGCAGCTGGCAAGTCTGGGAGTTGTGAACTGTTCCATGAACCACATTTAGCAAACTAATGATTAGCTTCCACTTATTCGGGCTCTGTAACCATAGGAATATTGCGTAACATTAGAGAGGAGAGTCAAATTACAGCCCGGCTAAAGGGCTTTTTATAGCATTGATGAGGCAAGGCTCATAACTTGAGCATACCCATTTTAATTCATTTAAAATCCAAACTAAGTTGAAAGTAGCCTCCCAAACTACACCGTTTTCAGAAAGTGCTGCCGACTTCCACACCTCCCTCCTGATGCTCTCCTCGCTTACAGAAGCTTCCTGATGGCATCTGAACATGCTGCAGAGACATCACTTACACTCTTTAGAACTCAGTACATTTTTCTCCATCATGTCACTTGACCACTGGTGCTTAGTTAAACAGATCTAAAGTAGAGGAGCAGTTCAAGGTACAAAAGGAATCATGTGGGGAAAGCAGAATGAATGTTATTTCCTCCTGAACCTACTATCACAGGAATTCAGAAAATTTTAGAAGATACGGACAGGAAGCAGTGGCTATAACAGGAGAACACCTTAGAAAAGTCATACTGGATCAGTCTCAAGAGCCATCTAGTCTATCACTGTGCTGCAGACAAAATGAAGGACATTTTGGAGGAAATTGTTAGGAAAGTTACCTACATACTCTTACATTTCCTAATAAGACATCATAGTGTATGCAAATTAATGTTTTTCTCTCTATAAGTGAGAACATAATATATGCACATGTTAAAAAGAATTAAAAAAAAAAAAAAGACATACATTAAAAGGTAGAGGCAACTACTAATGCCAGCTTTTTATGTGCGTATCCTATCTCTAACAGTCCCTTCTGTTGTGAGATCCAAAAGGTCTTACTGGCTCAGCCTGAAGCATCCCAACAGGAAAAGGTTATAGTGGCCGGAGCAGAGGAGGAGGTGAGCTTCCACCTGTGTGTCTCTTCTCTGAGGACTCAGGATTGTGATTAGTTGCCATATCACTAGCTCCCAGAATGATCAATCCTCTTCCCCAGCAGTCTATCATCTTCTGGTCCTGCTGTCCTTTGTCTGCTCCCTTTTATGGGTAGGCAAAATTGAAAGTTTGTTCTTCTCATGGTTCCCCTACTCCAGTAGGCTACAGTATTCAAAGTCTGGGCTGTTTCTACTTAATCCTATATAAGCCTTTAGGTCTTAGAAATCATCATAAAGAATTTTGATTTCTTCAGAAAGAAGACATTAATTGCTTTTATTTATGCCTCTCTGTGAAAAGGTATGGGAAATACGGGGCATAGACCAAAGAAATGCAGACATGCAAGGTCCCAGAATAAGGAAAGATAGTTCACAGCTGGATCAGAGGTAAGTAGGTGAAGCACGCTACTATAATTCTGTGCTTTACAGCACTGCTCTACAAACCTTCGTTGTATTCCCTGTTTTACTAAGTTTGCTTTCAATATGGTTTAAAAAGGGGGAAAAAAGAGAAAAGGTGACAAGATGAGGAAAATAGTGATGCTGAATTTGCAGTCCTTTACCATCACAGTAAAAACAGACAAAAAAGGAACACAAATTTGTAACAGCACAGAAAATTAGACTCTCAGTCAATATTCTCCTGCCACCAGAATACCCACTAGGCAAAGCTCAGATGAAGGCCTGGGGAAAATCCAGCTGGGGAAACAATGTGATAGGTAGTGGCCCTCTGCCCACCAAAAACATAGCCTAAGCCAGCAGGGAGTGTGAGGGAAAGATGGTGCTGCACCCCCAACCCCAACCCCACTCCAGTACACACACTATTGGGAGGTATGCCTGGAGCACCCAGAGCTGTCATGAGATTATAATCCAGGCAATGAAATCAGACTGTGGAGCAGAAGTGGAGGGGTGTCCTTTTATATTAAGGCAAGTGAATTCAGAAGAAGGAGAGTCCTATAAGACACATGAGAGAGATGGGGGAAGAACCACAGCATGCTTCAGATTATCCAGGAATAAACTCCACTTCTCCCAGGACCATACCACATAGCAAAACCAGGAGAAATCAATGCAGGCTTATAGGTCCACTAAATGAAAGCTTCAAGAATATCAGAAAGTTGGCTCATATCATGTACAACAGCCCTCCATTCATCATGTAAGGGAATGATTCTAACAGGATTAAGGAAAATAGCAGAACAAGGAGAATCTATCCACAGTGAGTTTAAAAGCAAAGGTTTGATTAAACAGAAGATATTAAATCCTATAAAATATTTGTTGGCAAAAAATACAGAGACCAAAGCGCTCCAAAAAATAATTCAGAAAGCACCTTCGCTGTTATATAAATAAAATACAAAAAAATATGGATGCCAGAAACTAAGATAACAAAATAAAACAAGAAACAGATGGAAATAATAAAGGTTATAGCTGAAAGGTAGAAATAAAAGGAGCTAAATAAGATAATAAAGACACTGAAAAATCCAATTACAAAAAGTTAAAATTTGCATTATAAACAGCAAAATAAAAACCACAATCAACTCAACAATTTTAAATGAGTAATATGGAGATGGGGAACAAGTTTGAGAATTTTTGCTAGAATTTAAAGAATGAGGAGAAAAATTAAACATTAAAAATGTGAAAATGATTGGTGTGTTTAAAAGATTGAGAATTGTAGAAAAAAAAACAGTTAAAAATATTTGTTTGCCTTTAGAAAAATATATATAAAAACTTCAGCTGGGCGCGGTGGCTCA